GATGTTATTGAATCAGGTGCAAACACCCAATATCGCATCAAATCTATACGACTTGAGGATGCTCGGCAAATAAATTTCATCGTACCGGAATTAACCTCTGATATCATGTATTGACAACTTGTATAAGACAAAAAATTTCTATAAAAAATTTGTGCCGTTAGACAGGATTAGAATTTGGTTATAAGACCAGGGTTAGAAGGTTATGGCAAAATTTCGTGATGAAAAAACTTTTTTGTTAATACGTAGGAAGCAGTTTCATAAGCAAAGTTTTGAGCTACAACTACAAACGTCTTTTTTCACATTAGATTGGCCGACAAAATTCTTAGGTTGATATAATGTAATTTACATTGGTGTAAACGTCAAGAAGTCATTTTGTACGATTTAATTATCGTATCATTAAAAGTTATATAGATATAAAATGTTATGACACATTTTTTGAGTCTATAATTTGAATTATTAAAAAAATTGACTTTCAAATAATAACAACTTAAAAACGGATGTAATTATGTGGCGGCTGAAACTGAGATTGGCTGAAGTTCGAGATTGGGAGTCTCTATTTAAATCTATATTACCTAATAAAATCCACTTGTACACTTTTATTATTAAAACTACCCCTAAACCCTAACCTAACTCTAAAAAAAAGCTGACAAAAAAGACCCCAAAAAAATTTAATATAAATATTTCAAAACCTCAGCTTCAGCTGCCACAGTTATTAAAGTTGGAAAGTCGTCAGATATCAAAGAGTTTACGGTATTTTTCAGAATGATGACGTTTTACGTTATCGTTTCCTGACCTTTAAGCTTTCACGATTCATGAAAGTAAATTTAGCGAGGTGCTCTGGTTTCTCAACATTGATTTTTTTCGATTTTCTTCACCAGTCCAGTCAACCTACATTTAGTGATCTTAATCACATTTCTATTCTTATAAATTCCAACTCATGGGATACTTTAGAGTTGGTACTCGAAACGAAACCTACCCGAAACTAGTTTCCGAAAGCTCTAATCCGAAACTAGTTTCGAAACCCGAAACCCGAAACTCCGAAACTATAATCCGAAACCTCAAACTATAATCAGAAACTTTAAAAATATATATTGAAATTTATTTAGACAGTTCTACTTCCTGACATTCTTACTTATTTCCCTAACACATATACCTGTATACTATATATTATTCGGCAGGTACTATGTAAACACTGGCGGAAAAAATTTCACATTATTGCCGCAGGTTAATATTAAAATCATTTTAATATAAAACTTGCGGCATAATATCAATTTTTTCCGTAAGTGTATACGTCATACCTGCCTCAATTGGTTTACAGCTGTTTTCATAAATTCTGGGACACCTAAAAAATTTTTTGTTTCTCGAAACTATGGAGACAGCGAAGTGGTTTCTGAAAAAGTTATGCGATTCTTAGAACAGGATCGAAAAGGTTTCGGAAAACAAGAAAATTTTTAGGTGTTCCAGAATTTATGAAAACAGCTGTAAATGTAAGATTCTAAAAATCGATAAAGTGTTGTGAAAGCTTTTCAATACATCCATATCTTTGAAAATCGGAAAACTGACTTAAATTACAAAATTATTGGATTTTATTGGCTAAGAGCGACGATCAAAAATTTAGACCAACATTTTACTAATGAAATCACAGCTGCACATTAAGTGAAAAATGTTCCTGGACTAATTTTACTATAATATAGGCCATTTTCCTAAAAATTTCTATTTTTGTAATAAAAAAGTTAAGAACTTAATTCCGGCCAAAAATTAGAAACAATTGTATAATATAGATCACGGCAGTTGGCCAATCAAATTCGAGAATCAGCCATGGTGAGTATTTTTCTTGCAAGATAGTAAAATGCCAGGCATGTTTTGTATACTTATCACTTTCAAAGTTTTTTTTTCATTTTATGCTTTTTATCTAACAATCGAGCAATTTTTGTTGATTTGCAAGAAAGAATACAAAATTTTAATAAATTATCACGGTTTGCGATATCTGTATTATAGTATATTACTTCATGTTATATAATCAATATGATCAATATGTAATGATAATATTTTTTTATTTAAATTTATTAAAAAATCTTACTAATATAAAATTATCAAATTATTATTATATTTTAAATAATGATTTAATTCATCTTATATAACTATAATATTTATAGTTTTAACTATACTATTAGCTACATATAAATATTTATTCTTATAAACTATTTTGTTATATTCAATATCCAAATAAAATTATATAAAATCATAATCCATAAGTAATAATTTACTCAATCTTCTTTTTTATAAAATGATATGCAGCATATGTATGTTTTATCAAAAGTGACATTGGGAAAAGGTTTGAGATCAAATCTTCATTTATATTATCCGGCCAGCAACAAATAGTCGTCGTCTCTATCAAGTAAACCGAGAGAGGGTGATCTTCTCGTATAGATTCTGCTAGCAACTGACGAAATATGAATCGTTTCAAGGCTCGCATAAATGCTTCGGCTGGGATAAGGTTTGAATTCAGCTTGAAATCTTTTTTCTCAAAAGAACAAGCAGCTATTATTTCATTTTCGATTTCTTCTGTAAGTCGGATCTTGTATTTAATAGGGATACTTTCTACCACAATATCTGCTACCTTATCTTCAACGAGTTCATAGAGTGCAATGGCATGCTTTAGTTGTAGACCAGTATTCAACACTTTTTCTAGGACTTTATTTTCTGTGAGAACAGAGAGCTTTACCAATTGCTGGATGTAACTTTTAAGGGTCATATTAGCATCAATATCTGCAGTTCTCTTAATAAAACATAAAAGTAATTCTAAAGATGATAATAATTCTGATTCATTTCCCGACAATACTACCTCCTCGATTCTAGTGCCGCTACTAAATTCAGAATAATGGTTCTGCGAAATACCACCAGCAAGTAATAATACCAATTTATCTTGTGGTATTTGTTCTTGTTTAATTTTTTGTTTAATATCATATAATATTGATGTGGAACTTTGGAACATTTCCATGCAATAAGAGAATGGTTCTAGCATGAGTCCACCTGGCTCAGTGCGCTCTAAATAAGTCTTATTCAGAATTAAATTTTGCATAAGTTCTGCTCCAATTTTAGAAAGATCATAGGAAATCTCTTGACCTCTACCAACATTAAGATTGTATTGACTATATTCTAAAATTTTTGTATTCCATTCATAATTGATAAAATTTATTTGCCGAGCATCCTCAAGTCGTATAGATTTGATGCGATATTGGGTGTTTGCACCTGATTCAATAACATC